CTTCTGTTTCCCTGGGAACAAACCCAACAGATTTGAATTCCCCAAGTGGTCGTCTAACAAATAGTTCATTCATTAACACTTTACTACAAATTAGAATCTAATAAGTAAATAAAAAATCCTTACTCTCAAAACATCAATTCCAATTAAATCTAGGTAGCATTAACTGCCACCTATGTTAATATAAAACATTAGAGTTGTTTGCAAATTTCAGCACAATTTATGGGGCTAGTAACAACTTTCCCACCATAATAAAAGCTCCCTGAGTAGAAACTGAGAAGACAGAATATTTTAAAAGCATAGGAGCTGAGACAGGATTGATCTGCAGGCACTGCTTCTCAGGTTGCCAGCAATGGCTTCAATGGACGTATAATCAACCTGCAAAAGATAAAAGAAGACAGGGTTGTAGGTATAAAGCTGTGGTGCCTCTGCAAAAGCACACATCATTGCCCTGACTGGTTTGGCTCAGTGGATAGAGCATCAGCCTGTGGACTCAAGGGTCCCAGGTTCAATTCCAGTCAAGGGCATGTACCTTGGTTGCGGGCACATCCCCAGTAGGGGGTGTGCAGGAGGCAGCTGATCAATGTTTCTCTCTCATCGATTTTTCTAACTCTCTATTCCTCTCCCTTCCTCTCCGTAAAAAATCAATTAAAAATATTTTTATAAAGTACTGTGCCAGATACCTTCTGGAAATCCACAGGTTTTGTGAGTCAGCTACGTGGGAAGGATAATTCCTTTGTATGTCTGTAGCATCTGTCTGCATTGGGACTTCCAAATACTTTTCCAAATTATCTAATTATCCTTTCAACACCCCTTGGAGAGAGGCAGGCAGGAGGTAATACTGATTCCATTTCTACAAGGAGTAGAGCTAATGATTTGTTCCACAGTGAGGTGGCTTAGCCTAAAGCTGTATTCTCTAGAAACTTCCGCTGAGAAGAGAAGACCTTGAGTCTCTCAAAATAATATTTCTTCTCTCAACTTAAAGGTAGTGGCTGGTGGAATGGCTCACAAAAACCTCTAAGTAAATGCAATTACATCCAAATCCCTTCTTCTCTTGGCCAGTTGAAACAAGCCTCACAGTGTATGTCTCCATCATGTGAGAACCTCCTGGGCCAAATAATGTTGGGAAACACTACACATGGTCTCCTTTTGACAAGTCAGTGCACATGTTAGCATAAGGAAGCCTGGCTAAAATACATCATTCAACTTTGACTCATGGATTCTATTGTTTACGTAACTGCTGCTAGCTCCTGGAAATAATACTGTGTGGAAAACATTTAAGAAACATCAGCCCACATGAGTGTGCCCTCCCCCCGCCCCGTCGCCTTCGAATCTTCTTATTCAGAACTCAAACCTTCTAGAAAGAACAAACCATGGAATGATATAATTATCTCATTATTATCAAGCACCTATTTTCCAAGACATTGGCTTTTCTGTTTTCTGCATTGGGTGTTGCATTTTAATTATCAGAGCCTATCTGCGTGATAAATAATATTCTTATTTCCGTTTGACAAAGCAGTCAACTAAGGCTCAAGGAGGGTCCTCTGAAGTTGGCATGGCCCAGAGCTGTCCTCAGCCCCATCTGCCACCTAGCTACATACTTGCCCTTGGAAAATGGGACCAGTTTCAGGCCTTTCAATACCATCTTTGGGCTCATGATCCAGATCTGCATCTCCAGCCCTGATCACTATGCAGAGAATCTTGATCTACCAACACTCGTTTAACCTAAGGTCCCTTCTCCCACATAACTCCCCTTCAGTTTCTTCCCTTACTCCAAATAGAAGACATTAGGGTACCAAGACCACCAGGAAAAAGGTTCATTGGTCTTTGAGAATAATGCAGCCCTGGGCCTCTAGAGCCACAGAATGTTGTCTAACTGCACTGCTGCTATAGCAAGCTCAGAAAAGAGTCTGAGAAAGTCCAAATGTTCTTCACAAGAATCCCTTTGGTCACTCACCATGTGAATCCCGTGCTTCAATAATTCTTTGTCTAGCCAACAGATTGCATGTATTAAAAATGAAATTATTGTCACTTTCTGAGTCATCTAGGTTGTATGACAGATATGTGTTGCTTAAGAAATATTCTTCACACCTGGTCAGCTTTGTAAACCTATGTCCCAGGAGGTCACGGTTCAATTCCCTGTCAGGGCACATGCCTGGGTTGTGGGCTAGAGTCCCATTGTGGGGTGTGCAGGAGGCAGCCAATCAATGATTCTTTCTCATCATCGATGTTTCTCTCTCTCTCTCCCTCTCTCTTCCTCTCTGAAGTCAATAAAAATATATTTTTTAAAAAAATAAATAAATAAAAAGAAATATTCTCCACATGAGGATCACACATGCTTTTAATCATGCCCAAGTGAACACAGGGCAAGTTGATGTCCTGGCCTCCTTTGCCACTGTTCCCTGTAGGTTTTGTAAAATTCTGAAAAACAGTTCTTGATCCTCCAACTTGGCATTTCCACACTAAAATGTCTTTTCTTCTGACAAGTCCCTTTTTCTGAGGATATAATAGACTCTGTGTTGAAGGACCTCTAGATTCATCTTTGACATATGGTGCCAGATTTTTACATAGGTCTCCATAATTAGGAGTCAGTGTTTTCTTCAGTTTGATCATAGATCTGGCAATTTCCTCTCTGAAGCCATCATCAGTATCCAAACCTGATACAAATGATGGAAAGCTGCTGGGCAATGTTAAGCAACCTATATTCTGTTGTTATAAGTAATACCTCCCACCCCCATCCCAGACAAGTGGTAAGATTTTCTGTTGTGATGAAATGTCTCCTAGATCACGCATATTCTTTCAGAGCATGTCTTGTTCCTTTTATGTAACTTAAACCAGTGAGCCAGATTTTTCCCAAAGGGCGAATTAAGAAGGTCTGTTAACTCTTTCGGTACCTGGCTTCAAGAAATCTCGGCATAGCCATCAGTATGGTTTTGCCTCAGGGTGTTATACTTTCTAAAAAGCCAGCTGTCATATTCGAAGCTATCCATGATAGCACACTCCACAGAACCCTGGAGCTTTGGAAATGTTAATGCCCTCCCTCAGCAGTGACCTTGCCGCTGGGAAGTGATTGAGGCACGAGGGAGAAAGGGGCCCGCTATCTTTATCGCACTGGTTTACACCATCAACCTCAGAAATTGTGTGAGAGAGGAATAATCAATAGTGTGTTAAGACCAATCTCCAGGAAACAAGAATTCCAAGACAAAGCATTCGGCTCTACAGAATGCAGAGCTAAAGGAGAACTTTTGAATACGACACAAGAGAAATGACCTGTAGTGGTAAAACCAAATGAATTGTGTCTCAAGGTGGAATTTGTCACTGGGAATAGCACTCAAGAGCTCTCTGTGTACTTCAGTGAAATCCCATAATATGCTTGATGAAAAAATGCTTACTTTAAAGTTAAACAACACAGAATCAAATTACAAAACCGGAAGGAATATGTTCTAAACTTACACATGTAACAAGAATTAGCTGATGTCAGTAGTCCCGAAAAGTTTACTGGGGAAAAAATATACATATCTAGGAATAGAATCATCTCCTATGTAGAAATGGGAGAAACATAAAATTAGACTTCATCAAAATTTCCTGAAAATGTTACTGTATTTCCTGGAATTCTGGTAAAGGCATTATCTCTCAACCAGCAGAGAGTGGGAAGTTTCTAAAAACAGCAAAGTAGGGCCGAAACCGGTTTGGCTCAGCGGATAGAGCGTCGGCCTGCAGACTGAAAGGTCCCGGGTTCGATTCCGGTCAAGGGCATGTACCTGGGTTGCGGGCACATCCCCAGTGGGGGGCGTGCGGGAGGCAGCTGATCGATGTTTCTAACTCTCTATCTCTCTCCCTTCTTCTCTGTGAAAAATCAATAAAATATATTTTAAAAAAAACAAAAAAACAAAAAAACAGCAAAGTAGGTATCCCCACACCACCCTGAGTGAAATCACTGTAGAAAAGATCTGCCGGTATCATCCCTTAGATCATTACAATTATATGTTTGATTTCCCACAGCAACCTCAATTGTGACATGAACAGCTGTCAGCAACAAAATTAGAGGAAACTATCATTATATGGATTTCACCAACTTTGCTAGTCCTATTTCCACACCATTGCTCAAGAAGGTGTTTCCAAAGAATTCATCTGGTAGAGGTTCTCATTATTCTGAAGTTATTTTATCTTATAGGCTATACATGAAATACAATAATAAGTTGTCACGATAATAAGAATTCCAAATGGATGTTTATCAAATGCCAAATTCAAGTATATAAAAATGTCTGGGACACAATTCCTTTAATCCTGCAAGCATTGTATGAAGTAACTATTACATTTCCTATTTTTAACACAGTAGTTCCCTCTTATCCATGGGGGGATATGTTGCAACACCCCCATTGAATGCCTGAAACCTCAGATAAGTACCAAACCCAATGTATAGTATATTTTTTTCCAATGCATACATACCTTTTTACTTAAAGGAAGCACTTTATTGGTTCTCTTTAGAAGATCTGAATTGCCATATCCAAATCACTGCTTTTGCACTTTGGGGCCATTATTCAGTAGAATAAGAGTTACTTGAACACAGCACTGTGGTAAAGCAACAGTCGATCTGATAACCAAGTCGAAGGCAGAGCACCTCAGTGTTCGAACTCAGCTAAGAACATGCATGTAGGGCAACTCTAAATGTTGTCACTCTGCTTATGTCTGCAAAAGTGCATGGGTATGTATTAGAGGCTTACAAATTAATTTTAGTGAGTAGGCCAATTCACAAATATGGAATTTGTAAATAATGAGGGTTGATTTATTATGTTGAAGAATCTGAGCGTCAGTCACTGTATCTGTCTGGGTAATTTTGTGTCATATAAGTGGTTGGATTTGTTTAAATTTCAAAATCAGAGTTTATTGAAAGTAAAAGTGCCATGAAAAACGTGAAAGCCATTGCATTGCATGCTTCCACATAATGATCTTAGGAAGAAATGAATTGTGCAACCGAATTAACTTTTCCATGTTTCTTCCAGGTCTTTCAGGGATGTGGCCAACCCAAGCCTGCTCCAGCCCTCAGGTCTGCCCGCTCAGCTCCTGAAAACTTTAATACACGGTTCAGGCCTTACAATCCTGAGGAAAGACCGACAACCGCAGCAGGCACGAGCTTGGACCGGCTGGTGAGTTCTCGCAGATAGATGGCCTTGTGGCCGCTGTCTGTTACGGGTTATTCTTCACAAGACGTGATGGGGAAAAGTTGGTTGTGAAGGTCATCTCATTCTGATATCTGCTCCTAGTCTTAATTAGAATATTGAAAAGTAATGAGATCTTCCTTTTAGGTCAAGAATTAGATTATTTAAGAAGTCTTATCACCATTAATCCACTCCTGCAAAGGCCAGATTTTCAACTTCATATTTCTTCTGAAATATTAATTTGAAGACTAAGTTACTCTGTCTCCCAGCAATATAATTATACAATAGCACATTTTTCATTCATTTGCTTCAGTTATTTATTCAATTATGGTAGTGGGACTTTATTATGAATTATCCTTATGTGGAAAGTTTTCTGTATGAAAGACCTTGCCAAGAGACCCAAATCAAGGTGAAAGAAATACCATTTGTGTGTATGTGTGTGTGTATATCTTTTAAAAGTTGGAATTCTTAGAAACAGTCACTCTTTGATCCATTTAAATGTGTGTCAAATGGTCTCTAGCAACAAAGCAATTTACTTTGAGAACACTGTACAACCATAAACGTAGTAAACACAACTTTAATGTTTTAAACATCAAATCTTATGACAAGAAAGAAAATCTCATAATTTAAGAGAAATACTGCCTGATTATTTTCAGTGAAACTTATAGTATTTATAGTACTATAAACAATTTATATACCTGTAATCATAAGTGCTGTTAATGTTGCTTTGCCAATTATCTTGATGTAAAATTAGCAGATGAGAGCCTTAAGATCATAAAAACACTTGAACCATATATGATTATGGCATATAAACTCAGATCTCAATTTCCAATTACAAAAATTATTTTTATTAGTCACTGTAATAAATTAATTTATCATTTTAGTTAATATTCTTCTGCAGTGTAGAACTCATGAACTCATAAGATTAAATTGGTTGAGTTTGGCCTCAAAATAAGTAGATATCAGCAATTCTCTCTATAAAAATCAAATGTACTTACAATATAAAGGCCTATCCACGAAGTGCCAATGAGAAGGGGTAAACAGAATTGTTAACTACTAAATTATGTTATAAATTTATTACAGTTTATTAGCAATAAGCCTCCCTCTTTCGTGTAGGTTTTTGAAAAAGGAATCATCTGGGTAATTGCTTCAAACTTCTACTTTAATTGATTATGTTAATTCTCTATTCACAGTTTCAGGAAAAGTTTAAAATTAGTCTTCTTTTTTTTTGTCTTTTAAACAACCAATTAGATTTCTCTAAACAACTAGCCAATAGTTTTCAAGAAATGATGGTTTCATAAGATTCCATTGTTTGGGGTTTTACTTTACAAATTCTTGTGTATGTCTAGATCCTTTTAATGAGAAGCAAAAATGGTGAGTATGGGTTCTCTCTCGCTTTCTCTCTCCCATTTTATTTCCATTTTAGTTGGCTCCAGCTTAGTTATTAGACCAATTCAGGCTTTTCAGATTTTTCATAAACACTTGTATAAGAACTGGGACACAATGAAGATCGATAAGTTGTGCCTGTAGATAACAATACTGTGTAAAGCATTTCAAAATCTGTTAAGAGAGTAAATCTCAAGTTAAGTGTTCTTACCACAATAAAATAACATTTAAAAACAATTTGGGTACATTATACACTTAGTTAAAATTACAGTGAATTTGAACAATGTAATGATATCTATGACTACTAATTATTTTTCCCCTTTGAAATAGAAGCAAGGGAAGTAGAGCTTCTAGGAAAGTAGAGCAAGAAAATTAGTTTTTCTAAAAAAACAACAATATTTATGCAATTTAGGACAACCTAAATAAAGCATCAACATTTTGAGAATTTCACATGATGTTTAAAATCTGGTAGATAGGAAAATTGAAACTTGAAGCTTTTATACAGGAACTTTATTGAGGATCTTCAAAATGCCCCGAATATAAAAATCTTGAAGAGTTCTTGCAAGTAGCAACCTGATTTAAGTTCTTCTATTTTATGTGCCTCCAAAAATATTTTTAATCAATGTTTTTCTAAGGAGAATTAGTAATGGTTAATCACAAACAAGGATCAGACTCAGTGCATAAGGACTAATTCAATGCATATGAATTTAAATCAATAGGCTAATTTCATCCTAAAATGTTCTGTGGCCACAAGTAGTACTTCCTTATAGGCGTGGCTTCAGGACCTATAAAGGAAGAATGCAGGTTTTATTAATTTTCTATTGAATTAAATTCTGATTCCTTCCTAAATTGTAAGAATTAGCAATTTGTCATTCACAGTCAGCCATAAGCCTACTGGAGTTACCTTCCCAGCCCCTATGAGCAAGGGACTTTTTCCAATCAAAAGGAGCTATGCAAGGTTATTCTTGAGAAACACAAGTGAGAATGAAGCTCACATCAGATTCTCCCTTTGCAGCCTTTGGCTCCCCCAAGGCTCTTCCCTTTGCGGGTAAAACAGAATTCTGAATAGTGAAAGGGTGAAGAAGTAACCAGCCCGCGCTGTGCAACAGTCAGACAAAATCCTCCTGGAGACACGCGCATTGGTGAACTCCCCCGGCAGGCCTATCCAGCACAGCCTTGTTTATAAACAAGTCTCATGTTACCTACTCCTGTCGTAATTTTCCCCTGGAAGGATGTTTCCTGAATATTTATAAGAAGCATGTGTCCCAGAAAAGGAGAATAACTGGAAAAGACTTCCTTTAGTCTCTCTGAGTGTTTCAGCAGAGACACTGCTTCTGAGGGCAGCATTGAAAGAATACTCCACCCACCCCCCCTTTCACCCAAGGAAAATAACTAGAGAGCTCTCAGAGAATTGCTCTTACTCCCATTTAAAATTGGTACCTGGGCTATTAACTTTGGGTTCTGTTGATAGCTGTTTTTATGTCAATTATTGTAAAACTATTTTTTATGTGAACTGACAATTATGGGGTTTTAGAAATAAAGCTACTAACCCCAAGCAGGATAAACTGCTGCTAAAATTTATGTGAAATAATTGAAAACAAAACAAACTCTCTCTTAAAAATACATTAATTCAATCATTTAACCTCTATTACATTTATAAGGAACCTTGTAAATTCTTTTATGTCTCTAAGAAACATTGCCATTTGTTTCTGTTTAGTGGAGGTAAATGTTCCATTTCTCTAAAATTGTATGTGCATAAGAAGTAGTTTAGGTAGTCAGTAGCTTTCAGACATACTATCCAAAAGTTATTTTTATTATTCAATAATGAATGAATATATCTGTATAAATTCAGCTGCTAATGAAAAGCTGACTCATCAGAGAATATCACAGTCCTTCCTGCCAGCAGCCCTGATTTGTTGGCGATATTAATGTCATCAACTAATTTGTTTAACAGTCCGCTCCCACCATCACGTGTCTCCTGTCACCAACACTCAACCTGACAGTACTTCTATGGCAGCGGGGTGTGATGAGGTTAGTTAAATAGACCAGAGGTGATTATCTGCATGAAGGAAGAGATTGGATCTCTTCCTTTTGTCTTAACTCTATCCTCCATGAATTCTCTAAAATAATTTGATTGTAAAACTATGACTTTTATAGCATTTCAGTGGAGGCAGAGAGTATAAAAATAAATCAACACAAGCTATCTCAATTTTTAGAACCCGAGCATACAGAAGTATTTCAGGTTACTCTTGTAAAAGGCAATTAGTTGTACAGCTCAGAAAGTGAGAGCACAACATGCTACATGGTTCCTGGACACACTTGTGCAGGGAGTGTCTGCTACTCTAGCTGATTCATTATAGCAAAAATGTACTTTAAATTGTATATCTTGGAGGAATATAGTTTATAAAAGTGGACTAAAAAACACACACACACACAAAAAACAACACAGACTTGGAAGTTAGTTCATCAAGTTGGTGATGATTTAGACAAATGAATCTCCAGTAAGTATTCCATGTGGTCCTATGTGTGCAGATTTCTAAAATATTCTACTGCTCAATCTAAGGGAATTTGGGGTGGGGGTTGGTGGGTAGAATGCCAGCCTCCAACGCTAAGCATTGTACCTGTGCTGTGCTATTATGTATAGAATAATCTCTCTTTCTTTTTTCTTTAAATTTGTTTTCCTCTTGCTTCCCAGAGGATTGTGTGGAGGACAATGCAACATAGTGTAAGCTTGGTCTTCTTCTTCCTCTCATTCCCATTTGTCTTTGTACACTCATTCTGGAGAGTTCCTGAGAAATTCCACCTCCACCTCCCTTTTCCAAATTGTCTAGCAAGCCAATTGAACACTGCGCATGACCAATGGGTTTAGCAGCCTCCTCTCTTGGTATTTACGGTAAACGACCATTTGGAATTCTTTCCCAAGGGCAAGGTTTTCAGTCTAAACTTTGTGTAAGACTGGTTCATTTGATGGGTGATTTAATTCTATCCGAATGTTCAGACTATGTGTAGTCTGCCTGAAAAACTAGCTCTTCCCACTCCATGTATATTGGTTTTTTCTTTTTGTGCTGAGTGAATAATTACTAATAATAAAAGCAAATCAACCTCAGCTCTCATGCATAAGGAGCTAATTTTTTCATTAACTAGGACATAGAGAGTTTAGGGGTTTAGAATAGTTTTTGGTCTGGGTTGTTTACTCTATTTTTTCTTTATTTGAATTTACTGATATCTTTTAAGGATTTAGGGAGGAAGCATTGGATATCTTTTACTAAAAAGCATTTGTATTGGGGCTGAGGACAAGAATGCCAAGGTTCTCTTACCTAACTTTACATATCTCTGATAATAAAAGGGTAATATGCTAATTAGACCAAACATCATTCTGAACAAAGCCAGGGCTGGAGCGAAACCCGGGTCCTGGGTGCCTGCAGGCAGAAAGCCAGCGCCAGCAGACGAGGGAAGGAAGGCCTACTCTTGCATGAATTTCATGCATCGGGCCTCTAGTTAACCATAATAATCAGATAGATATGTTACCTAATCTGATTTTTCACACCATTTCATGTGGGTACTACCCTACAACAAAGATGTGAAGCCTACACAGCATCATG